AATACAATTCGGTTTTCCCCCATCCCTGCCATTGCAAATACATACACCACTACTTCTGAATTCTCCTTTTAATCAGCAAGAGGATCCACATACAAAAATGGCACAAACTTGAAAATAACAGGGCGATAGGATGAAGGGAAATGGCCTTAAGTTGTGCCAGGGGAGGTTTAGGTTGGACATTGGGAAAAATTCCTTCCCCAAAAGGGTTGTCAAGCACTGGAAGGGGCTGCCCAGGGCAGGGGTTGAGTCCCCATCCCTGGGGGGGATTTAAAAGCCGGGCAGGTGAGGTGCTTAGGGACAGGATTTAATGGTGGGATGGCAGGGTTCGGGGAACGGTTGGGCTTGGTAAGCTTAAAGGGCTTTTCCAACCTCAACGATTCTGTGATTCTATTCTATGATTCTGTAATGTTCCGCACTGGCTGGGTATAGATCCACAGATTTGAGCAAGGCAGAATCTTGGCATACGTTGTGCAAAGTCTTACACCTGAGACTTTTCAACAGATTTTAATAGTCTGGATGGATCTGAATTGAGATCAACGTCTCACCCATTCACTGGCAGTGAAAGGTGGCAGCATGGCAGCCGGCTCCTTCCTGGTAACTGGGAGATAAATTCATGCCTTGGGAAATTTTGCAGGTGTTGCGTTTCTTGTATACAAGCAAAACCATTCCATTGATTAACTTACCTGGAAATAGATATTTTTTTTTTCTGCTGCTATTTCCTAGTTGACTGCAATTTCACAAAGAACTGCGTGACTAATTCCTGATGCCAGCTTTGTAACTGGTTGGACTTTAGGCTCTCATCCTTACAGGTAAATACAAGTCAGCTTCCTGGTGGTGTCTTCTCCTGGAGAGGGAAATAGTTACAACTATCTACAAAAACCATCACAAAAAATGTGGTAAGAATCCTGAGAGGCATAGGGTAAGTTTTTCCACAGATCTTTAAATAAATTAATAAAAAATCAGTGGTATTTAGGTTCCCAAATGAAGCAGAAGGCTCTGAGAATATTATTTTTTGTTCTCTGGTCAAAATCTAACTTTTTATTGCAGTAATGGAGCAAAACACGTGCCAGCAGGCAGTCTGGGCTCACTGGCTCTGCAGGCTATTCCATTTCCATACAATCCTATTGCAACCTAGGAAGTGCGCTGTAAGGATAGTGGCAAGGCTTTTGTCCTCTCTGTGTTAATTAAATAACATAAATGAGCATCCTGCTGTAACTTGGGGTCACACTGCTGGGAAAAGAGCTGCGCGTCCCCTCCTTGGGCTGTCTCCTCCTTTGCTCAGGAGCTGCATTTAATCTCAGGCCTCTGACCTCCCCCACATCCCGCTGTACCATGCATGGTGCCTGTCCCGACTCAACTTGCAGTGGGGCTCAGAGGGCCAGGGGGTTTCGGGCCCCAGTAGGGTGTCCGGCCCCAGCTGCCACCCTCGTGCCAGACAGCAAGCAGAGGGGTGCGTATCTGGCCTCAACTATGGGTCATCTCCCGTTGCTAGCCCGTTTCTTCTTCCTTTCCTGTGTACCCACTGTCAGGTGCCAGTTCCCAAGCTCTTGTTTAGCAAGTGCCAAAGAGCAGAATATTAAACAGCAGTCTTCCTCTGAGAAAGGCAAACACAATCATTTTTTACTAACGCTTCCTGATAATTACTGTCATTGCCGTCCTGCACATTACTTCAGCGAGCCCGGTCTCGCAGACCTAAGTAATTGAAAAATAGGGGCTTTGTTGGCAATGCCTGCACCCAGGAGCACTGCAAGGTGCCACTGTCAGCAGGAGCCTGGACCACGCATGGCCAGGCAGTGCGGGATGGAGCCGTGCTGTGTTCCCTGCCCCTAAGAGCAGCCGCTCTTAGGAGGGGTCTTTGTTAGGAGCTCATTTGGTAACAGGCTCTACCACACTGCCAGCTCCTAAATCCCAGTGCTGGAACCAGAGGGCTAGGTGGGAGCATGCACCACACCGGCCTGCTGGGGCTCACTGCGGGAGCATGGGAAGGAGGGCTGCCGCATCCTTCCTCTGTGATGCGCTGTGTTCCTGCCTTTGGACAGAATTAATTACTCTACTCTGCCCTAGTGAGACCCCATTTGGAGTACTGTGTCCAATTCTGGGCTCCCCAGTTCAAGAAAGATGAGGAACTCCTACAGAGAGTCCAGAGGAGGGCTACAAAGATGGTGAGGGGACTGGAGCATCTCTCCTACAAGGAAAGGCTGAAGGAGCTGGGCCTGTTTAGCCTGAAGAAGAGGAGGCTGAGAGGGGATCTCATTAACACATACAAATATCTGAAGGGTGGGTGTCACAAGGATGGAGCCAGACTCTTCCCAGTGGTGCCCAGCACCAGGACAAGGGGCAATGGGCACAAACTGAAGCAGAAGAGGTTCCAGTTGAATGTGAGGAAGAACTTCTTGACTTTGAGGGTGACCGAACCCTGGCAGAGGCTGCCCAGGGGGGCTGTGGAGTCTCCTTCTCTGGAGATATTCAACCCCTGCCTGGACGATGCCCTGCGCACCCTGCTCTGGGTGAGGCTGCTTGAGCAGGGGGGTGGGACTGGGTGATCTCTGGAGGGCTCTTCAAAGCCTTGCCATTCTGGGATTCTGGGATTCTGTAATGAGGCTCTGCGCTTGGATTCAGTTAGAGACAGTAAAGTGGATTTCCTTGCTCTGATTGGAATCTGTGAATCTCTCCATTTTTTTCCTCACCTGCTTTGAAACAAGACAATGGTGGCCGTGAGGGCAAAGAGAGAAAACTGGGGGCACCTTTTCCTAAAGAGCCAGCTCTGCTCTTACCGCCGACCAGAAAAGAGGCAGGGGGAGTGACACTGAGCACAAATCCCTCTGTAAGCAACAGTTTCTTCCCAGGTTATGAACTTTTTCCTTTTAAATAAAAGTAAAACATGCTTGTATTTTAACTAACTCAATAAATGAAATCACTAATGAGGAAGCAAACAGACTGTTAACAGCCGAACAAGGAGTTCTGACTTAAAAACATTGCTGCAGCTATTTAATTGCTTGAAGGCTAAGCAATAAAGCACTGCAGGAAATTCCCCGGGTCTCTCTTCCAGATACCAGCATACCTTTTTTCCTGAATTAAAAAAAAAGAATGAGGTCACCAACATAATTTAAATATTTATTGGTAGATAAGGAAAACAAACATAAATGCCTTTTCCCCTACTTGATCTTTCCTTTGTGTGTGAAATTACATCAGATAGAGTTGTCTATAACTTTAGACAAAGCCATCTCAGTGGTTCCTATCAGTTACTTGTGTCTCTTCTCCCTCCCTCCTGAATATCAGCAAAGAAATGTTATAATGAAATTGCAAATAAAAAAAAAAAATGGAGCACTGGTAAATAGGAGGCCCAGAGGTGGGAGAATCCCAACCATCAGCTCAGTGCCACGCAGACCAGGAAACAGATCAGCCATTTCCACATAAAGCCCTAAGTTTTGAAATCTTTTCGACAGCAAGACTTTGAAGCATTTCCCTAAAATTATGCCTTACCTACTAAACATTGTACACCATGCTGTGTTAAATATACCAGAGGGTAACAGCTGAAAACAAGAAGGATTTTTCCAGCAACTTTCATACAAATTGTGTCTTCGCAGAATTGGCTGCACAACAGCACTTGGCATCAGGCAAAAGGCTCAAGGTGCATTTCAAATAGGCTATGAAACAGCCTGGAAGGAATATGGAGATGTGGCTGTGGAGAAGTCCAGCTATTGGTAGGGGCAGAAGCTGCTAAGGAGAAGGCTCCCAGGCTGCGACTGCCTGAAGGGAAAGGAAAAGGGCTGGTGCTGCCTGAAGGGGAAGAGAGGGGGTGAGGGCAGGCAAAAACCTATCCCAGCCAGCCAATACATTTCTTAAGATGATATTTTGGTCCACTTCCATCCTGTCCATACATTCGTTTGTGATAAACACATTAATTCTATTTTTCACTTGACCTGCAGGAGGTAGAATCATAGAATCATCTAGGTTGGAAAAGCCCTTTAAACTCATCAAGCCCAACCGTTACCCTAACCCTGCCATCCCACCACTAAACCCTGGCCCTAAGCACCTCACCTGCCCAGCTTTTAAATACCCCCAGGGGTGGGGACTCGACCCCCGCCCTGGGCAGCCCCTTCCAGGGCTTGACAGGCC